AGAAAGCCATTATCAATAAAAAGAAAAGAGAACTCCCTATGGTATGGACATCAGTCGCAGCTGATCACAAACCCAGATTTGCTGTTCCTCCTGAAATACCTTGTGTAGTTGATGAACAATTAATATAAATTCGTCACGTCTAGAAATTTTCTTGAAAGTATTCCCTCGAAGTTTATTTATTTTTATTGCGGATTGTACAAACGAGAGAATTAAAATGAATAATCGCAAGGAAGGAAAGTCTGAACCGCTTACTGATGCTGTTGAAGTAATGATTACTATTGGTTGTACTCTAATAATGTGCTACAACAGAGTGCCTAAACTGAGACATTATTGGTCTTCGCATCCATCTGTCGGAAATAAAACGATAAGTACTGCAATATCAAAAAACAGATGCTTATTCATTCTCTCCAAAGTTTATTTCAATGGCCCAAAGAAATCCGAAGATTGCAGTAAGATATATTATGTAAAAGAACTGCTCTCCTGTTTTAAGTTCCCATTTCAGAACTATCGAACCGACAGTACTAGACAATCAATAGACGAGAGGATGGTGAAGTTCAAAGGTCGATCGTCCCTAAAACAATAAGTACCTCTAAAAACAAGTGAAAAGAGGTATAAAAACTATTGCAGGTGTGATTCTAAGACAGGATACACATATGATTTTAACGTTCACTCTGGAACGGAAGTTGAACAAGCTGATGGAACTCTAGGTGAAAGAGTAGTAAAAACTCTATGTGAATCGATATGTATTTGATAATGTTGTTATGGCTTTTGACAGATTTTTTACCTCTGTACGTCAAGTGGACACTATTAAATTCGCTGTAGTTGGTACAGCCATTACAAATAGACGGAACATGCCTAAGGAGTTTTCTATAAAACAATATAAGGTTGAATGTTCGAATAATTAAACTTTGAGGGTATACAAGGCAACTATCGAACACGGTGATTAATTTAATCTTGCCCAAGTACTTTCGATCAATAGATCATCTTCAGGGGCATTTCGTCAGTTGTGGCCTATCCGACATAGTAGAATGTCATAAATGTAAAAGTTGGACATAACAACACAAAATACAATACACAAAGACAAACACTTTAAAATTTTAAGGAGAAGCTACATGTTGTATAGAAGCCTGAGACAGAATGATTCTGCCGGAGACAGATTCCGTCTCCGGCTTCTATACAACACGTACCTTCTCTTTAAAATTTTAAAGTGTTTGTTTGTCTTTGTGTATTGTATTTTGTATTGTTATGTCCAAATTTTACATTTATGACATTCTACTATGTCGGATAGGCCACAACTGACGAAATGCCCTGAAGATGATCTATTGATCGAAAGTACTTGGGCAAGATTAAATTAATCACCGTGTTCGATAGTTGCCTTGTATACCTTCAAAGTTTTCTATAAAAAGCAAAATGAACAAGGGAGACTCTGTATTTCTAACAAATGAGTTCCAAACCCTATCCACAAAATGGCAAGGTACCAAACAAGTATCCTTGTTGAGTAACTGTCATAAGAGTAGTTGTACAACTATTCAAAGGAAAAATAAAAGTGGGACCAAAGTGGACGTTCCGTGTCCTGCTGCTGTTGCTTTATACAACGAACTTATGGGTGGTGTGGACCTGGCTGACCAAATGAGTGGAGTGTATGAAGTGGATAGACGATCCTGTAAATGGCGGAAAAAAGTTTTCTACCGATTGCTTATGGTGTCAGTGGTAAATAATTGGGTAATATATAATGATTTACATTGAACACGAAAGAAAACACAACTTTTAGAAACTTTGTTTGAGCTATCAGAAGATCTCATTTCTAAAGGTAAAACCACTACACAAGTAAAACTTAGAAAAAGAAGTGTAGGTAGACCTTGAAAGAAATCACGAAATAAAAATGTAGGAGACCACATGCCGATTGAAACTGCTAAGAGACGGCGTTGTGTTGGTTGCTCAAGAATGGGTAAAGAAAGAAGAACCACAACCATTTGCACAATGTGCGATGTAGGTTTGTGTAAACATTGTTTCACATTATATCACACATATTAAGTTACATGGAAGTATTTTTTATGCATATTTTTGTAAATCTTTCTGAAAGATAGTGTTCATTTATTTGTGGCCGTAATCTCCCAATATATCCTACGTGACATATTAATCCCAACCAACATTCCCATTGGGACATATATATCCCACTATTTTTTTGTTTTTTTTTTTTATGTAAAAATTTGGTTTGGTACACTTTAAAAACCTTCTATGGTTACCAATACAAAGAAATAATTAAAGTCGAGATCGTAACAACACACAAAAAATTGGGTCCCAAAGGGTTAAGAAAGGCAGTTTGTCCTAAACAGCTGTAGTGACAATAATTTAAAACACATTTTGTGGAAGTGTTGAAAACAAAAATTTTCAGTGTTTTATTGTTATAGTTTATTTTTATGAACGAGAGAGTAATTAGCATAATTTTAACTGGTACATCCGACCACTCCATAGGCGTGCTCAAGATTAATTAAAAATTACTTTGAATAATTGTAAAAAATAAATGAATTATTTCAGTGTTATAAAGTGTTATGTGTATGTAAACAAAAGTGACCTCTTTTATCACACATTATATTAGAACTGACTGGCCTACATTAAAAAGGGTTTTAAAAAATTCACATTTTTTTTAATTTTTAAAAATTACAAAAGAGAAAGAGAGTTTTTAAAACCGTCTAAGGTATGTTAAATAGATGAATAAAAATATTAATATAAAACTTACAGCTACTTGTTACAAATCCAAATCAGATTCAGAAGATGAACTTTCAGAACCAAGATTTATAATAACTGGCTTGATCATTTTATCAGTAATATTGTCCAGCTTCCACATTTTTTCCTCTTCTTTAATAGTGTGATTTACTGCCTTTTCCCAGTTTTCAGGTTTTACATTATTTACGGCCTCCAAAAACAACTGTTTAACATCATGAATTTTAAAAGTGGTATTTTTTCTCGAAACTTCACTCTTTATCTGTGCCCATACCAGTTCAATCGGGTTTAATTCACAATGATATGGTGGGGATCTAAGTATTGTCATTCCACGATTTTTGGCAATTTCATCAATTTCGTAATTTTTAAATTTTTCTTTATGAAGGGCACACAACGAATAAAGTTCCTTTCTTATAGATCCGGGATGGTACGTAATATTTTTTGAACTCAGCCAATTCTGCAAGTCTTTTTTTAACCACTTGGTTGTGGGCAGTCCTTCTATAAGTCTGGAGTGATAACTTGCATTATGCATTACTAGTACCAGTAGATAAGTTATTTACAAAAGCGTGCCTTTGACTTATAACAGTTTCATCCTGCCAAAATTTATTTGGTGTATGACCGTCGTTGATCCATGTTTCATCAAGATAAAATATTTTTCTTTTTTGGTTTCTCATTTCCTTTATGGTTCTTAGAAAATGTCTTCTCCATATGACAATATCGCTTCTTTCTAATAAAATAGACTTTCTGGGATTCTTTTTCCAGCGGAAGCCTATTTCTTTTAAAAGTTTCCATAACGTACTTCGACTCATTTCTGGGTAATCCTTATCATCTCGAACTGAGACAAGAACTTTATCTAATGTTGGAAATTCTTGTCTAAAGAAGAATTCATGCACTTTCCGTCGAAGTCCTTCTTTAAAATGATATTCTATTTGAAATTTTGGTTTCCCTGGAGCATTACGTGGCATTTGAAAACTACCACATTTCTCTTCTTTAATAACTCTGTAAATCGTAGATTTCCCAACACAAAGTGTACTGCTAACTAACTCAACGGTCTCATCAACACTTTCACATAAACGTTTGTCTGTAAATGATTTAAAACAATTAAATATTAACGTTTTTTCATTAACTGTTAAAGGACCAATTTTTCGGCGTTTACACAGCACTTCCAAATTTTCCATAACACTAGTATACACAATAAACTGCACCTTGCAACTAAAGTACCTACTTTTAGTGAACTGTTAAGAATTTTGCATACGCCACTTGGACCTTCCTACAAAATGGAAAAACCCACTATCACATTTTCTGTGGAATAAGTTTAGAAGGTAATTATCTAGTCAATTACTGTCGTAGATTCCTGGAATTAAAGAATTAAATGTTTGATTGTTGAAACCCTTACTTCGTGGAATGCACTCATTTCAGATAAAATAAAACGTTTTATTTTATCTAAAGAATTAAACTCTATTTTGCAAATAGGTAGGTACTTATTAAACTTTTATTGATTATATATAACCAATAAAATAAACATCTTACATTTCTTGCAAATTCATTAGTACCTGTTAACCTCCATCACTCCGACACTGGCAACCTTATTTAGGGATTAGTAACCCTCACAAGTATCGTATTCTATTTTGCTCAAACCTTTATACCTGGTGGTCATACTCAATTTAAAATTGTTTTCCTATACACTTCTGTAAACTTGTTGACAAATATCTGTTTTTCATTGAGTCACCCGTATCAACAATTTAGGGATTTGCATACATAATTTATTGTTTTATTACTCGCTCATACATAAAAATACACTATAGATATAATAGAACAGTTGACAAGAGTCAGCTTATTTCTCATTTGTTTACATTCAAACCATTTACTTATAGTTTTAAATGAAGCAGAAAAAACAAATAACATACTTTTTATTAACAGATAGTGGCATACTGACAAGAAAGGTGGTCCCTTCTAGTTTATGGAACCTTTTGTAAATGGCCTCTTTCTCTTTCTCCTTCTCCTATTTAAAAGCATAACATTGAAATCAATGACAAATCATGTAGTATGTTCAGTTTTTGGACTTCCAACGCTGTATAACGGTGCGTTGACTACAATACCACAATGCGAAATTTTCGCGAGACGAATGGCCACAGTGGTCATTCGTTGTTGCCAAAATCGCAGCAATCTGTTTATTCCTTAAATACCGAAATGAAACGCAAGCGAAAATTTTCAAATTGTTAAGAAACCATTTCACGCAGCATCCTCAAATTGTTACAACAGGAATAAAACATATACTAAAAACTACTTACATTATAATCCATCTGCATTAAAACACAAGTTAGCAACTTTTCCAGCTGGCTAATCATATCTGGTATGGACACTCCAATATCAGCTACTACTTTATTTAAGTCGTTTACCAGCTCAATAACAGACGGTTCTTCAGCCTGCATCTTTTTCATAGTTTCGAGTAAAATAATAGTATGAAAATTGAAATTTAAATCATACAATCCTTTGTAGATATTACTGGCAATTTTAATACCACTTAAAACTTTGTAGAAACTCTCATTATAGGTCTGCTTTAAAGTTGGCAAATTACTAATCATCTCGACTGCCTTAGTGCTATGAAGAAGAAGATCGTCTAGGAACCAATCACCATCTCGTGAAGTCAATTTTATCAGCCAGTCTCCACTTCTCTGCGCTGCGATTTCTAACGTTAACAAATTTCTATTAAGTAAAACCAATTCGCTCGCTATAACGAATTCCAAAGCGCTAACTGCTCCTTTTTCCATGTTGATGAAAGTATTAATCCCCGTTTTGGCGTTGTTATAAACTTTTTCTAATGTTTCATTTGAGTCTTTGGATCTTATCGTCTCTAAATCGCCAAACAATTTGTTGACGTTCATTAAATTGTCTTTATAAAAAGTTTCTAAACTATAAGCTACGGTTACGATTTGTGGGTGCATTAGGGCAGATGTAACTAAGAATTCTCTGATTTGTTCGTAAATTACATCACAACTAGCATAATCATGCGTTTCCAAAAGAAATTTGGACCATTTGATGTACATATAAATTCGGTGAGAATCCAAGTAGGATTTTGGACATTGAGTTAAAATCAAAAAATAATCCTGGTATATCTGCAAACATTTTCGAACTGATATATTGAGAAGCTGCAGTAACTGGAATACTTCTTGTTCCGATCGCTCGCACTGAGTTATCACATCATTTTTACCGGCGTTATGCAAGAATTCCTTAACCAAGTCAAAAATTCTCATACTGTCTTCGGTAATGTTAATTTTAACATCCATTAACCATTGAGAGAATTGCTGGGTGTCATAAAGAATGAATAATTTAGAATATACATTTACATGTTCCTCCGAGTCTTTTATGATATTGCGCAGCTCAGTTTTGGCATTGTTTACAGAAATTTGTGACTTGTGGTATGCATCATAATGTGAAGGCAGCGAGTAGAGAGAATGATTGTGCGCTCCTTGAGCTTCTGCTTCTTTAATTAGTGCTAATTGTTGGTGTAAATCTTGAAGCTTGTCTTCGATTTCGGCAACTTTGCCGTTCAACTCCAAATATTCATTTAAATTCTTAATGATGTTTGGTATTTCGTTCAAAACTTCTTCCCTAAAATATAAATGTGTTAGATTTTTATCAAATGTAATAAAATATGTTCAAAGTTAAAAAAAAGGTTGATCCTGAAGTTTTGCAACATTCATTGGATTTTTTGGTAGATTATTATAATCTACCAAAAAATACATATTTTAACGATATAGATATCTGTGATTTGTAAACAACTACCTTCTAGTACCACAACCTTTTAATTTTAAATATGGAATATACCATCTACCATGTGCGGTACATCATTAGACAGGTATTTCGCTGGAGAAATCAGGCATCTATGATTTTTGTTTCATATTAACTTTATTCTTGTAAAAAAGTATCAATTTATTGAAATTGCGACACCTCTTTAAAAGTAAACGTAATGCCTATGTTTTACTAGTATCAGTTTTCAAAATTTTCACGTCAAAAGGCCTTTCTGAAGTTGAAGCATCTTCGAAAGGGTATCTCGGTTGTTTTAATGACTTCATACATTTGAACAACTATTGGCCTATGTCGAGTTTTAGGGATTGCACCATAGACATTGTTAATACAAGAATAGGATATTTGTGAATAGGTTAATGTGAGAGAGGATATTTGTTTGTGTTGGTTTGCGGTAGGTAGTATAGAGCAAAATGTGTTGTAGCTGACGCTTGCCATAGGTGTATTGGCTCTTTGGGAAGGAATCGTGATGTTTTTAGAAAGCTTTTCCGAGATCTTAATCTACTTGGTTGAACTTGGTGGTCATACAAGGGTGTCTTCGGTCCGTCTCCTGCTTCTTTCTTTCTGTCTCTGACGTGACCTATCTTCTGATAGCAGGTGGAGCAATTCCAACTATAAGGTAGACCTCTTCGAAAAGTGTCAGTTTCATGCAACCAGATATTAAACGAACTGTTTCATTTAACTCAACATCGATGTTTTTAGCGTGACCAGAGTTTTCCCACACTGGTGCTAAAAACTCGGCAGCAGAAAAACATAATGCTAAGGCAGAAGTACGGAGAGTATGTTGTTGTGCTCCCCATTTTGTGTTTGTTAGTTTGCGGATGATATTATTTCTGGCGCTTACGTATTCATCAGCTATAATTGTTTAATTAAATGCTTAATATGATCTCCACCAACATCCATACAATTATAAAGTTGCTGTTTGAAATTACTACGTACATTTTGAAGCCTTTTGGGTTGCTAGACTACATTCATGCACTAATCGCCGTCTTAATTCTTGATTTTTTAATAAACCCATAGGAAGGAGTACAGAAGATTCAAATCGGGGATATTGGTGGTCATTCAATAAAACCTCTTCGCCCAATCCATTGCTTAGGAAACCGTTCATTAAGGTATCTCCTTAAGTATATTATAATGCAGAGGTGCGCTGTCTTGTTGGAAACACAAATCACCTTTTGAGTACCTGTTATCATTTTTGATTATATCTGTCAAAATAGGATCAACTGAGTCCTCTAATAATAGATATGCTTCTCCGTTTAAAATTGTTGCAATTGTTTCATTTTTATAACTACTGGGCAAGATTTTCTTCAGAATAATTTAGAAAAAAATATATTTTAAAGAATACTTTCAAACTCTTACAAGAGACGAAGAATATAAAGAAAACCAACAAATGAGCTTTTGATATTGCTTTTACATTACAAAAAATTATACTCACTTATTTTCATTCCACTCAGCTCTCATTTCTGTACATCTAACATTGAACATAGCCAAAGTCACTTCTCTCTCTAATTCCTTCTTGCTCTGTTTCGATGTCATATCCGTGTTTAGTGCTCCAAATGTGGTGCCGGCTAAAACTTCTCCCCCAACAGTCCAATCGATGAGGGGATCGTAGACAAACGCTTCCAGAAGAGTTAGTAGTGTTTCTCTTCCTTTTCGCATAACTTTCAAAACGTTTTCGCAGGCTAGTCGGAAAATGCCCTGTAACAATAAAACGATAAATCAATACATATTCGAGATATTTAACTAGCACATGTTTTTATGTTTAATGTCTATATTAACTAGGAAGCAAATGGATTTTAAAAGGTGGACCACCAAAACTAAACTATAACTAAATACAACTTTATAAACTTCGTTAGACAAAAAGAGAGCAGTAATTCTTTTTTGCGTGATTCGAGTACGACATTAGCTGAATAAATTGGTTGATGTGAACTACAAAATGTATTTGTTTTCGTTTCTTCAGTTTACTGATGATTTATTATTGTGGAAAAAATGAGCAGTTGAGTTAAAAACATTTGAAAATAAAAGAAAACTTTGTTTCATGAAGTCGCATGCATAGCTGCTTGCAGTTTAGCGATACTGGGCATAGTTGACATCAGGTTGCAATTGAATGTGCATCTGCGTATTTACTGAAACTGAAATTTTATATGACTGCTGTCGAGATTTTTTTTTAAGAATAGAAGGACCAATAATGGTTGTGTGCTCTGCTATGGAACGCATTTAGTGAAGGTTATGCTGCGCCCATTTGCCTTATTGTACAGCTACGGCCATTGCATAGTTGACACCCTAAAGTCGGCATCTCACAGCTCGTGGAAAGGTGCTCTTCTCTGGTTTACGTCGTCAAAGAGAAAAAGAAAATCGATATTAACGATCAGAAAAGAGACAACGTTTGGCACCCCACGTTACTGTGAAATTAGTAAATATTTGCTTGTTGATCAATATATTCGACCTATTCCAAAATGTAGTAGAACCATTCCGATGGTGGGTATTGGGTATTTCGGAGGGTTAAGACCCACTAAACTATGACAGAGACAGACATACTTATCCGCATCACTACTATCTGATTAAAGTTGTGTCTAATCCATATCCACACATTTCTGAATTCAAAGATATAATAATCCACAGTTTCGAAAATAGACGCCGTATCAACATGAGGTTATATAGTTAATATCCATTTTATAGGTAAAGATAAGTGATAAGCATTTTTAATGAATGAGCAGTCATAGTACATGATAAAAGTCTTGACAAACATTTTTATCACAAAAATTGAATATCATTCAATAGCGCGTACCAAACTATGTATATAATAATTATGACGGTATCGATTGTTATTTCACCGAAACACTGATTTAACTTAAACGATATTTTGTTAAATGAGAGTCACAATCACGGAAATATAATGATGTCCATTAACAAATGAATGAAATAAACATACGTCATCATTTATATTATTTTCATGAGATGTATAAATATGATAGTTAATAGTTATAAAGAAGGTTGTTATTTACGTTGGTACGATTCTGTTAATAAAATAAAAGAGCAGTATGTTTTATTTAATGTCACACATAAAGGTGACATACAACCCAGTTTGTGTTGAACTGCATTTTAAAAGATCATTTTCAAAACGTTCTCAAACGGCTGCCGTAATATAATTATTTTAACAGTATCTGTTAAACTTATCTAAATTAAAAAACAGTTTCATCTATTCACGCCTAGAGACATATATAACATTTAATATTTTCATCCATAAATCAAATGTAACTATTCTAAAATCCAACAAACCAGGAAAATGTTACAAGCGACTAATGTCCCTTGATTTATTGGGTTATGCAAAACTTAGTGATAATTGGACTTCGGCAAATATGCAAATAAAAATGTAGAAAATATGCGCATAAATATGCACGTGTTTACCCGAAAATATGCAAATATTTTACAAAAGATGCATACAAATAAATAAAAAAATCGTAAATAGTAACAATTTTATTTAAAAAAAAAGTGTACATAGCTAAATATTTCCTACTATTCATTAAGATTTACATTTATTTTAAGTAACTACATCATTTTTAAGTATGAATAAACTTATTTAGAATTATGGTAACAATAAATGACCAAGTGGTGTTCAAAATTTTCTAACAAAAACTTGTGGCTTCTGTCTGAGTACATATATTTATATATGGAAAAACTTCCTTTAACATCAACTGATGTAACGGGAGCATTTTTCAAACTAACCAAAACATTTGGTTCTAAACTAATTGTTTCCGAAATATTTCCAGTTAGAACACTGACTACTTCAGAAAGAATATGGTAACCTTTATTTTTTTTCCATAGTAGCTTCAAATTTTTTCAAAAAATATCTTTTCCAATATTTAATTAACGCAAATTCTTTTATTAATGCTGTACTTTCGAACAATGACAGTTTTGGTGATTCTAATTGAGTAATTGTTTTTTGAACAAAACTAAAATTTGATTTTATAAATGAAAGTTCTTGTTGAAGCAAGTTACTCTGAAAAGTTTAATTAGAATCCAAAAGAGATTGGGAACTTTCATCTGTTAACGTATCAATTATGTTCTTTATTTTAACAAAATGATCTGCATAAAAATTAGCTGCTTCTAACCATGTTCCCCATCGCGTTAAAATAGGTTGTGGTGGAAGAGGAATGTTAGGTAGCATTTCTTTATAAAGTTGAATTCTTATAGGAGATTTAAGAAATACTTTTTTGACACTGGATATCATGGTATTTACAAGAGGAAACTTTTTTCGTATTTCCTCTGTAACTCTGTTTAATCCATGCGCTACACAAGTAAATGTATTAAATCTGGGAAAAATATTTTTAAATTTTGTCCTGCTTTCACCATATAAGGAGCAGCATCCGATAAAATAAGCAGTAATTTATTAAAAGGAATAATTGTCGGAAGAAAAAAAGTTGCTAATGTTTCTTGTATAAAACGCGAAATTGTTAAAGCATTTGTTTTCTCAAGTTGCTGGCATGAAATAAGATGAGATTTTGGTAAGGTATCTTCTTTAAGGACACCAATCAATAAATGAGCAATATACTTTCCTGAGGAATCAATGGTTTCGTCTACAGATATGTAAAAATAATTATCTGCAATTTCTTCCTTAATATTAATTAACACCGACGAGTATAGCCCGTTCACATTATTTCTTCTTAGAGACCGATCACTTGGAACATTAAGTTTGCAATATTTTTTTAGAAACGAACTAAAATTTACATTTGCTAATTTTGAAAGCGGTATGTTTGCAGACACTAATGCGCGACACAAGTCTTCATTAAAAGTTTCTTGCTCATCTAATTTTTTTGAAGTAGATTGGAAACATTTAGCCATTGAAGTTTGATGTTTTCCTCCTATTTTTTCCTTTTTTTGCAATGTGTGAAGCAGTTCTCACATGTTGGTCTATCTGAAATTTCTTCTCACATGCTATCTATAAATAAAAATAAAAACCTTTATTTTAACCCAACCTTTAAAATATAAAAATATACAAGGTGTTTTTGGTTAATCAAATGACTGGTTTGGAAAAATAAAACACTCGCTAAGTGTTTTAAATGCAGTATTAATCCACAAATTAGTTTTTGTTACTAACCATTAGTAGGGGAAAGTGGGGGAACCGTGCGCGGTGGGGAACGGTGCGCACCATTAAAATTCAAATTACGCGGCATACTGAGAGTCCCCTCCCGAACAGGCTTAAGCGGGAACATGCACAGAGTCTCTGAAGCCATTAACTGCCACTGCAGTTGAGTTGTGTACTTAGTGAAAGGCGAAAGTGTGCATTTGAGGTTTTTGTTACTATTTTCCACTTGCACAAATTAAGACGGTGAGTCCGTAAATCTTAACTACTTGTTTTGAAATAATTATATTCTTAAAGAATATCATCTGCTGCATATATGCACACCATTTGGTTGCATTTAGATAAGTAATTTTTGTAGGATGATGTAATTACGTTTTTAAACCATAGTGGGGTAACCGTGCGCGAAAATGCGCACGGTTACCCACTAATCAATTAAATATGAAGCAATATTGTTATCGTTTTTGGGTACTAAAATCCGTCTTTTATTTTCAGATGCCACGAAATTACGTTCGAAAGACTGAAATCCATCAATATAGTGATGAATTGCTGGAGACTGCACTGAATGCAATTAGAAACGATGGGAGGAAAATACGAGAAGTTGGGAGGTCTTTTGGTATTCCTGAATCAACACTCAGAAAAAAGCTTTCTCTAAATCAACTAAAAATCCCCCATCTCGGTAGAAAGGCGATTTTTACAGCAGAAGTGGAAGCTGAATTAACCCACTATATTCTGACACTCGCAAAATTGTTTTACGGCGTAACGCCCCGACAACTGAGGCAGTTAGCGTTTAATTATGCTCAACAGAAAAATATTCCAAATAATTTCAATAAACAAACTCAGTTAGCAGGCAAAGATTGGTTGTATGGGTTTCTCAAGCGAAATCCTGAAATATCATTGAGACAGCCTGAGGGGACTAGTCTTAATCGAATTGCTGCATTTAATGCGGACGAGTTAAAACTTTTTTATTCAAATCTCGAGAAAGTTTTACAAAAATTTAAATTTGAAGCAAACAGGATATATAATATGGACGAGACGGGTGTAACCACTGTACAGAAGAAGTGCCCGAAGGTTTATGGACGTAAGGGTGTAAAAAAAGTAGGAGCTGCTATTTCAGGTGAAAGAGGGAGGACCATTACAGCCGTATTTTGCATGAGTGCCACAGGAAATTATATCGCGCCCATGCTGATATATCCCAGAAAGAGAATGGCTCCTGCGCTGCAGAAAAATGGGCCAACTGGTGCTAACTATAAATGTTCAAAAAATGGATGGATGAATTCTGAACTTTTTCTTGATTGGTTAATGCACTTCGAAAAACAGGCAAATCCCACTTTAAATGACCCGATTCTCCTTATCCTTGACAACCATTCAAGCCATATATCCATAGAGGCATACGATTTCTGTAAGTCAAATCATATTCATATGGTGTCCCTTCCGCCACATACTTCCCATCACCTTCAACCCCTTGACCTATCCTTCTTTGGTCCTTTAAAAAATGCGCTATACAGGGAGTATGATATTTATTTAACTACAACAGGCCATGAAAAGATCACTGAATATGACGTAGCTGAGCTGTTAAATAAAGCGTTCGTAAAAGTCGCATCGATGGAGAAAGCAGTTTCGGGATTTCGTTCTGCTGGAATAAGGCCATTTGACCCTAACAAATTCAACGAAGATGATTTCGCTCCGGCCAACGAAATGAGACAGTTTGTAGTAGAAGGTTCTCCCGAACGTAGCGCTAATTTATTAACACTTGCATCTCAGCCAAATCTACAAAAAATTCCTAATCCGGCAACACCCGAACCTAGTGAAAATTCAGACGGTGAAGATAGACAGACAGCTCATATGCCAAAACAACAGCAGCAGGATCTACCTATTCAAGGTCATCTACCATGTACATCTACCGCTGAACAAGATCATCTACCATCTACATCTAAGTCTGGACACAACCATCTACCATCGACATCTACATTAAATAATTCATTCTTCCAATTTGCACCTATTCCAAGGAGAAAAGAAAAAGGAAGAGTAAAAACAGTGTCTCGTTCGAAACAACACTCTGAAATATTGACTAGCACACCCCTAAAAGAACGATTAGAACAAGCTCAAGCAAAGAAAAGGGAAAAAGACGTGAAAAAAAACATGAAATTAAAAAGTGTCAAAACATTAGGAAAGAACAATATTAAGAAAGATAATAAGAAAATGAAGAGGGCTCCAACACCTGAACTTGATGCACAAGAACGTGACGAGGAAGATGAAATCGAGAATGCTTATTTCTCGATCCCACCTCACTCCTTCTACGGAACCACTACAAGAAAAATAACGGCAAAAGAGAATGTTGCAAAAAAAGTAAAAAAACGCATATGTCAGTCTCCGGAAATTAAAAGAGGGAGAAATAAGAAACCAGCAACGCCTGAATCATCAGAGGTATCTGACATAGACGATAGTGACATTTGTGACGATGATGAAGTAGACGATATCAACCCCAACTATGTTCCATTTGATGCAGAACCTGACGTGCGGACTGAATTATGTGGCATATGTGGAGAACATGGAAAAAGCGAACTATGGTACCGGTGTGTTGCATGTGGCTTATGGAACCACGCGGCATGTACCGGTAAAGATGCCCCCGAACAATACATTTGCGACTTTTGTCAAGGTTAAACAGATACCTACTTAACATTATAGGTATATAATCACTCGTACAATAAATATTTGTTCTTGCATGTGAATTTGTTTTTATACCACTGTATTATTAGGTACTTGTATATTCCAAACTACTGCGCACTGTTCCCCACCCTGTGCGCACAGTTACCCCATGGGGTGGGGAACGGTGCGCAAATGCAATTTTTTACTTTTTCTAATTATATATGATTATGTTAAGAAATTCAATATCTATTATAGTGCATACTGAAAGTAGAATAATTAGGGTATCAGATAACGTTTTTATTTTATTTTTTATGTTTAAGAGTTGACCACCACAACGATTCTCGCTTAGGTGCGCACCATTCCCCCACCTTCCCCTACATCATATAACTTATTTTAAAATTCAACAAAAGTTTTTTTTTTTGTTTTTTTTTTGTTAATTCAATTACAATAAAAATAATTGTGTTTTAGAATAGCTGACTTCATAAAAAAAAAGTAAAGGTGAAAATTTTTCTAAATACACACCATTGTATTGTACCATGGACAATTTTTTCTCACTAAAGGAATCTATTTTTCATTTAAAAACAACCTACAAGTACTAAATTTCAAGTAAATACGTTTATTGGTTTTAAAGTTATTGTTGTTATTAACTAAAAGAATTTAATTTTTTTTTAATTTTAACACCCTGTATCTCGAAAAGTAAATAAGTTTGACCCCTCATTAACTATATCGTTTTGTTCAATTTTTCGAGAGAGTATCTACAGTCAAACGTTGTAAGTGTCATTTGGAAACACCCTGTATGTATGAAATATTAGATATTTAATAGAAATATTAGATACTTACAATTTGCCACAGACTGAACAGTAGATTTTTCCCATATTCATAGACAGCTCTTTATAAGGTTTAATCCAAGTTGAAGCACTGGTTGTTTTAGGCATTATAAAATCACAATCTTCCTTTTTGTTACGCACAACGAGTGTTTACGCTTTGAATATCAAAACAAAAATGATTTACAAATCTGAGCATCAAATTAGAAATGTTTAGGTACCTAATTCAATAAACTGGGAGATTTTGGAAAATCCCTAAATTAGGAACAAAACTATTAGCCGTTTACCTGCTGTTAAGATACAATAAATTGTAGATAGATTTGGGGATTAGATCATAAAATGCAAATGAGCGAACCCTTAGCGATTATCCAATAACTGAATGCCTCAGTGACCGAGACTTTCTAAGAATGTTGAGGGCTACTTAAATTGATCTTCTTTGAAATTGTAAATGTTTTGTATCTGTAGAGATTACGTACTTAGATCATTTCTTAATTAAAATGACTACAAAATTTTATACAAGAATTGAAATAAATTGGTATGTTTAAAAATTTTCAAATACAGTATAAAAATCTGAACTTTTATGCACTTTATGCAAACTTTTATACAAATATGCCAAAATATGAAATATTTGCATAAAATATGCACAATATGCAATATATGCAATATGCATATTTGCCGAAGTCTAGTGATAATATATTGTTGTTTCATACCCCTAATTATACCCCTGCGCTTTATAGGCGAGCGTTTTTCTCCTATAAGCATAGCATAAAACAGACTAATTTGTTTTTGCATCGCAAACCTTTTTTTATTCGATTTTACATATTTTTTCAAGTTCAAGAAACTGATCGGCGAATAATCTCCGACTTAAGATTGTCTATTATAAAAAACAATATTGTGTTCGCATTTTTTTCTTTTTGGCTAAACTTGCCTAATTCTCTACAAGTTGTTTTCGTTCCCTGTTAACAACTCGTAGTGATCAAATCGATCACGTAAGAAACAAAGTAATCTGGCTGAAGATGATAACAGATGAGCGGTTGTGCTTAAATCCACATTTTCGTTTTGTACTGCCTTATTTACCTCATTAACCCTTTGTAAAATATCAAGCCAGAATAATAAAGTTGTTCCGTCTTTCAACAAATCAAGTTTTTCCGATAGAAAAGCTGCTTTAACTCTTACTACATTTTTCTCATTTATATTCATTGATATTTTAATCGAACCGTAATTGATTTTTAACGCTTTTACGGCATCAAAACGAGAAGACCAACGGGTTGCTTTCACTCTTTTAGGTGACAGTTTCTGCTCCGACTCAGGCGAATCCTTTTCTGCTGCATTTTGGACAACCAAATTTAAAGAGTGAGCAGCACACGGCACAAAGAGAGCTAAATCATTGTAAACTTTAATACGTGCTTGCAAACCAGAATCCTTGCCACTCATATTATTGGCATTGTCTTCAGACTGACCTCTTCTTCTTCTTTGGGTGCCGTCTTCAATGAAGGTTGGCGATAATCTCAGCAAAATCATTTCTGTCCCTGGCTTTTCTTATTAAAGATTGAGAATCCAAACCAGTCTACTCACGAATGTTCTTCAACAAGGACGCCTGCCGTCTACCAGGACCACGTTTTCCTTCTACCTTCCCCTCTATAAGAAGCTGCAGTAGCTGGTATTTCTCATTTCTGTATATGTGTCCCAAATATGAGGTTTTCCGTGTTTTCATTATTTTTAAGAGTTCTCTGTCGGTACCCATCTTGTGTAGGACCTGCTCGTTGCTCATATGCGCTGTCCAGGGGACTTTCAGCATCCTTCGAAATAACCACATTTCAAAACTTTCCAAACGCCTGAGTGAGTTGATTTTGAAGGTCCAGGCCTCCATTCCATATAGTAAGGTCACAGAATAATAAACAATCAGAAGGGCCACTCTCAGATGCCGCCTTTGAAGTTTTTCAGCATGCGCGCCATGTTTTAGGAGGACACAAACATATGATTTGTGAGGTTATGCAATTGTTTAGATTTATGTTTAATTATATTATATTTATGTTATTATATTTAAAACTGTTAATATAATTGTGTAGTATGTCTATGATTGCCGTAAGTCAAATAAACCTGGTTTTTTTTCCATGCACACCACATAAACAACACTGGTTCACTTTAAAATCCTCGTAAAACATGGCAGAACGTCTGCGCGAAGGAGATGCGCGTACTTAACTTTCCGTAGAGAGTGGGCATTCTGTTTGTTTATTATTCTGTGGTAAGGTGCTGTAAACGTAACATTTCAGCATTCGGTATCGGATTTTGAGATTGAGTGTTTGGGACGTAAACATTTGTTTCATTTTTTAAAAAGACATTTCTTGCTTGTTCAATTCGCGATTTTATTTCTATGCCTGGATCTATATCTTTCGTTATCCAGCACCCTAGATATCGAAATTTCTCGACATTTTCGATAATGTTACCATTCACGTTTAAAGCCATGGGTGGATGGATGGATGTTTTGGAGACAATCATTGTTTTTGTTTTCTTGACGTTTAATATTTTTTTTTTTTACTTTTCAATATATATTCTTCCGAATATATATTGAAAAGTAGTGGTGACAATACACACCCCTGTCGTACACCTCGCTTGATATTGAATATTTCTGTGTCACCGGCTTCTGTTCTAACTGCTGCAGTTTGGTTAAAATACAGCGTTTGGATAATTTTAAAATCGTTCTCGTCTAGTCCCTTTTTGTGAAGGCAATCGATCAGCTTATCATGTGTTACTTTGTCGAAGGCCTTCTGAACTGTAGACTGACCTCTACAGTTCTTAATATCTAATTTCAAAGACTCATAACATCTCAATAACTGTTTCCTCAAGTTCTTGTGAGCTATGCCCAGAGTTTTTATAAAATCCCACTAATCTTTCCACGGGATTCTCTTTATTGTTACAATATCTCAAAATAACTGTAAATTGATCATGGTGTGTTATGTCAGGAGTTGAATCTACACTTATAGAATAGTATTTGTTTGCCTTTATTTGCCTAACAATTTCAGCAATGACTCGAGTGGACAAAATATTAAGTAATTTGTTACATATATCTTTTGATAGATATGACGTTTTGCTCTTGCTTAAATTTGCTCGTTTATTAGTATGATCTTTTAAAAATGGATCATATTCTAATATTAGTTCCAGTAAACGAAAGTAGTTTCCATTCCGTTTCTCGCCAATTTTTTCATGAGTACTTGTAAATGTCAATTCCCTGGTAGGCAGAAACTTTATTACACTTATGATTCTTTCTAGAACTTTAACCCGATATTCTTTCGCAGTGCTAATTTCCTTTTCGAGTTCTACATCAATTCTTCCTTGTTTTAATAAGCAAGTCGTATAAATTTTGAGATTATCATGATCATTGGATCTTTCATGTTCGTCAAAAGTTTTCTTACTTTTATTCATTCTTTTTATTTTCTTCTTTTTTTTTCAAATAAGACACAATAAAGACAAAATATATTGCCAGTGCTCTCGGAGTAAATTGCCCAATCGCGGCGAACAACATCTTCATTAACCAGTTTTTTATAAAATATTTGCTTACTGGCATACCTCTTTTGTTCGCTAAAATTTTTTTTGACATTGAAAAGTCCATATCTATAAGATTCTGTTCAACCTATTTTTCTAGAATTATTTCTGCACAATTACGGCAATATTGCCAAAGTGCTGGATCTTTAAAATTAAGTAAATCCTGTTTTGGATCTGAAAAGAAATAAAAAAAATTATTTGTCATTGTCCTGTTTCAGTTACCATTTGTAAAGGCACCGTTATCTTTTTGCATTTTAGCCTCGTTACAAAAAATACAATATCTTACACGAGTTACTGGTGGTTGCTTCTTCATCCTCTAATACTTTTGAAACAGGTGATACTAAGTGCTCTGGCACTGATTCTCAAGTCTCCAAAATAGGTTCATGGGGTCTAATATGAATATATTTATCACTAGTAGTACTAGAACTAGGATCGGGTTCGGAAGTATTTGTAGTGTCGACGGTAATAATAATAATTTATTTATTAATTGCTAAGTTTCAAAGTTCTCCAGCCTCCATCTCTACTGCATGGAACGACTGCCTATCTCACAAGACCGAAGCAAAGTGACACGTCTGTGTCGTTTGGGAGATAAAACTTGACTGTCTCATTTGGCATATGGAACTCGTCTTACCTCAAATACACATCTGTGTCATTTTACAGATGGCTCGTCCTGTAATGTTTAGTTTTTAAAAGAGCTGTGATTTTGTACACGGAATCTTGGCTAAATATACGAGAAGAATCAAAAAATGTTTATATATACACTTGCGTCCATATAAATCGGCCCACTGTAAACTATTGAATTTAACTATATTTTTTTCAAGAAATATACATCAGATCACAAAAACAAATATACTGTTTGAAAGACAATTTAATATGCTTTATTGTGAGTATAAAGTTATCAAGAAGGCTTATCGTTTATTATATTATATTATTCATTTTTCATAATCTCAGCAGTGTTCAAGTGTGTTAGTTTAATGAATCCTTTCATAGGCAACCTGGAACAGGCAGACGGCGATTTACAACCGCTCGTGATGACCGCTTTATTGTGTCAACAACATTAAGAAATCGTCACCTTAATGCCGTTCAGGTGCAACGACAGCTCCGTGAGGTGCGAAGAGTGGCTGTTAGTCAGTGGACAGTGAGACGAAGACTGCGGGAAAATAACCTGACCCCTAAAACACCTGCAATTGGTCCAAAACTTACTCCAGCTCATCGGCAAGCACGCCTGCGTTTTGCACAGGATCATCGGAATTGGATGTTGGAACAATGGGGATCTGTTCTGTTCTCAGATAAGACCAAAATATGCCTCTATGGTAGCGACCGAAGAAGGAAAGCGTACCGGAGACCAGGAGAGAGATTTTCAGAATGCTGCTTTGAAGAGCGGAGTGCTTATGGGGGTGGTTCCTGCATGATCTGGGGTGCAATTTCTATACGAGCACGAACCGATGTTGAGTTCATTCGTAGGGACGACCGTGTTCACGGAAGAAGAGGTTTAACGGCTGCCAGATATATCGAGGAGATTTTAGCAATGCATGTGGTACCTTACGTCGACTACATTGGAGATGAGTTTATCTTTATGCATGACAATGCAAGGGCACACACCGCAAGAATCGTGCTAGATTACATTGCAGAAGTCGGTTTTCAGGTTATAGACTGGCCAGCAAACAGTACTGACCTAAATCCGATCGAACATTTATGGGATGAGCTAAAACGAAGAATTCGAGCTAGACTTCATACCCCAGACTCGATCCCAGAGCTTATTCTTGCAGCAGAAGAAGAGTGGCTTAACATCCCACAAGCAACAATAGCAAACTTGATTAGATGTATGCCTAATCGATATGTTATTAGGGCAAGAGGAGGTCATACCCATTATTAAAAATTAAGTGTTAAGTTTTAAATTGTCAATAACCCTATTTATGTTAATAATAAAAAAGCTTAATTTGCTTAATGAATTCATTTCACTATGTTAAACATAGGAAGCCGAAATAAGTTTTCATAAATTTATACTCACATTAAAGCATATTAAATTGTCTTTCAAACAGTATATTTGTTTTTGTGATCTGATGAATATTTCTTGAAAAAAATATAGTTAAAGTCAAAAGTTTACAGTGGGCCGATTTCTATGCACGCAAGTTTATTTGCGAAACTGCAACAATATTTTTTATTTACATTAAAGTTGCGTTTTACTGAGTCTCATGTCTAGTAGAGCTACCCGTCAGAGTTTTCAAATAACAATCGACTATTGTTAAAAGTCATCAATTCACATAATTTTTAAGGACACTCTCTATTAAAATACTTTTTTTGTCTGAGCCGTCCTTGTTATAAATTACCTTAAAATTTTGATTTATTACTCCGTATTCAATTGCAAAAAAGATTATAAATACAATATATTAAGTACAGTAGTAGCTATAAAAGTTCCAATTTACATTATTAAATAGTTGACAAACCTTGCAAAACAATTTTCACGTTATGCAAAGCATACAAAATGGTTTTCTGTAATATAATGGTACAGAACATTCTACGATTTCCGACGTCTTATCATGATGCACATACCACTTTAAGATAATCATTCCTGAAAAGTATAGGCAAAATACCACTAAATATGGAAGTAATTAAATAATATCACTTTCATTACGAGTTTGCTACATGAATATTGAATATTGTGTTCATTTCAATTGTATTACATATTTTTATAATTCACATACAGTAAAACCTCCGTTAATCGAAATAATTGGGGGGGGGGGGGGGAGGCCGTTTCGGATATCAAGAATTTTCGGTTAAAAATAACATTGTTTTTTATAGTATACTTGGTCAAAGTATTAGTATTAAAAAATACTATGAGGTGATTTCGTAATGTTTTCTAATAAGTAAATACTAAGTAAATACTACTAAATTTCTAATAAGAATAAAATAATAAAATAAGGGAAGATGAAGAAGATGACGAAACGTAAATCAATCTGAAAAGAATAGAACTTTATGAAATGAAAACAAAAATTAAGAACCTAGTCGTGTCACTAACTAATTAGGCATTGTATAAAATATCTCTAAGGCATTGAAAATTTCGTCGGCGGTGCCGTGCTGGCTGTTGTCTGGTTGTCAGGTTGTCTGGATGAAGAACGATATCAAGCCTGGTTGATGAATTTACTTTCTGAGTCCACGGCAGCTAACCACTCATGTATGTCTTCTTGATTAATTTCGAAACATCCCGGTAAATGTTTCATTTAAGGTTTAATTTCGTCTGTCGTTTCTTTGTCATTTTCTTCTTCAAAATCGTCAATCAAAATCCCATCAAAAAGTTTGTTTCAGCTTTTTTTCCAAGTTGAAGATTTGATCTTGGTCCATGACCCAACACACCAATAATCAACATGATTCATTGTTAAAGATTTGAGAATTTCGGGAACACTTTTGGATTCATTCGTCTCCTATAATAACAGGTGTCTTAAGAATGCTCCTCTATAATGTCTCTTGAATGTCTATTACTCCCTGGTCTAACGGCTTAATTAAGCTCGTGACATAAGGTGGCAAAAATCTGACAATTGTCACCATTTTGTAGATTTTGAGGGTAAGTTGGCGAATTGTCAAGAAGCAACAATGCTTTGATGGAAAGGTTTTTGATTTTAAAAAGAATTTTGCACTTGGGACGAATTAATTTTCAATTCTGAAAATAAATTGGTCGACATCCATGAGCTTTTACTTCTACTCTCTCAATTTGGCTTCTACAAAAAACTGGAAGTGCTTTTTCGGAAATACCTTTTAGAGCTCTTGGTTTTTTTTATTCCCCCACACACATAGGCATTAATCGGAGAGTGAAATTAATGGAACTGTTTACGTTTTGCGATAAAAATTTTACTTTTTATTGACGAAACTGTCAGCCGTTTCAGTTAAGGGAGGTTTTACTGTATCTATATTACACGAAAGTATATAAAGCCATGACATATATATAAGGGGTAAAGGAAAATGACATATGGCGCAGAAGATATAACTTTAAACTATACACAGCATACAATGAACCCGAGATCGTAACATCCATAAAGATCGGACGTCTGCGCTGGATGGGCCATGTTGAACGGATGTTGGAGACTGAAACACCAAAACATATAATGAGGCAAACATCAGTAGGAAGAAGGTCAAAGGAAAGACCCAAATTTAGATACATGGAACAAGTGGAACAAGATCTGAAAACACTTTCACCAACTGCAAAAACAAAGCAAAGAACAGAACAGAATGGCGGAAAATCCTAGACGAAGCCAGGACCCAGAAAGGGTTGTCGAGCTACTGATGATGATGATATAAAGCCAGAATAAGGGAGGAAGTCTACGAGCCAGGTTAGCACCTTGCTGATACTGGTAGAGAATAAGCACATACTACTCATTGTGAAACAGGAAAGATCCAACAATGATGACCAACCCGAGAAAGAGAAAACCCAATTTATGGATAGCTATAAACGTACTGGTCGAGTGAATACTTGGAATGTTAGATCCTTAAACACAAAATAACTAAGATATGATCAATGGGCTTCAAACAGTAGGGCGTTAATATTTAATTTCTATCGCTTGAAAAGTAAAAAACATCTAATTTCCTGTATTTTGTCCTATTCACTGCCTGATATTTCACTATCAGAGTCGTCACTATCTCAATTGTCTATCCGAATAATTAGAGGCCCGACCTCATCTGTAACTCGCTTGGTTTGAAAAGACAACGATTATGTCTTCCGTATGTCTAATACAATTTTGCCATTGTTCTGCCTTTATTTGTTCTAGCGATTCTTTCCATAAACTAAGAACGTTAGCGTCATCTGTTGTTTTGTATGCATGTTTACCATAAAATTTTTTGGCTATACCCCAAACTAACTCAATTGCATTATAGTGACAATAGTAGGG